CCTTGGGCATAGGGTACGCTGTACGTTCGGGTCTGGTTTTTTTGTTGGTTCTGGTTAAGCGCGCTTACGGTGGTCGGAGATCATCTAGCGATCCCAGACACCCGGAGTGTCTCTCCAGAAGGCTGGAGCGTGAACAGGATCGGCTAGCATCCTTAGCTAGCATGACTGCTTCGCAGCAGAAATCAGTTTCCCAGTTCCTCTCGCTCCGCACCATGGCCTGAACTAAAACCGGCGCGAAAGAATTCGCTTCACTGATGGATAGACTGACGGTCTATTCTGTCAATACGAAAGTACGTGTGTACATCTCTGCCTACCCTTTTGGGGCAAAAAAGCGGTAGATAAGGTTGTTTATGTTAATAATGCATGACAGCTGTTAGTAAGAAAAAAAAATAACCAAAAATAAGTTTTACACTAGGTATTTATTACAAAAAAATAATGAAATGAAAGAAACAAAAATAGAAATATGTACAATATTTGGGTTTTCGAGTTCGTAGATCTCAAAATGATCTCAGAAGACAATTATCGCCGTTTTCACCAACAACCCCTAAACCATCTCTTAACTAAAAGTCACTTAGCGTGACATAGCACCTAATCTAACTCCATACTGCAAGAATCACCTATAGATTGGTGAAAATCATTATGGTAAACGTCATCTTAGCTTAGGAATTTCTAAAATTTAGGAAACGTTTGGGAAAACGGGGATTAGTGCTTCAAGATTGTACTTAAAACATATATTTTAGACTAACTGACAGACAGGAAACTGTTAAAGGCAAATACTAAACCAACGTAGATCAACATGATCAGTTAGGTAACAAAATCAAACAATAAAAAAAACAAAAGAATAAAAAACAATCAAAATACCATTTTTACACACACACAACTAAAAAATGTCATTTTTTCATAAAAACAGTAATAAATACTTAACATAAGTACTTACAATTACAACTATCATGCACACACGAAATTAAAAGTTAAAAAATAAAATGACAAACATTGTCAAACACTTTGGAAAAATACCGAGTACCTCTTCGGTGCTCGTGAATTTTTTATACTTAACCTTATCTACAAAATAATTCATTATAGGACATACATTTATTTAACAATGCCCCACAAAGGGATGGCCCTTAACAAAACAACAATATGGCCGCCTATCTTCTAAATGCTTTATGCTTTGTAACGACTTTTCAAGACGCTGTATAATAAAATTAATAATACTTCAAAATCTGACTAAAACTCAAGAATGGATGCACCAAATTGGTTAATTATCATCTTGAAGCTAGCCACTGGGCCTCCGGTAACCTCTCTCACACGGCGAAACACAACGTAAGCGTTGTTTCAAGCCGATTTTCAAACCGTTATCAGAGGCCCAATAGTACCGAAGCATGGTTCTCCCACAAAAAACAGTCTACGTTAAAAGTACCTTTAGAATACTAGAAAGCTACATCTTCATAGAGCTGATGCGTCTCAGCTTTCGCAAATAATCTAAAGTAGTACACCATCAGCTAGTAACTACCTACAGCAAACAAAGGCATCTTCTCACACGGAGAAGGTATGAGCATTAATCACCACGCTAGCTCAAGGCAGGTTGGCAAAGTCCAACTTATAAATTCTTTTCTGTTTCCTTCACCGCATATCTGTGGTGTCTAAATAATCTTAGAAAGTACATACAACCTGACAAGCGTGGTGATTTAAGCAAACCTAAGGAAGATACTCTTTGTTGAGCAGTGGGCATATCCTAGCTGATAATGGAGATGTTGATTGGACACTTCAGACTACCTCCAGCGTTATGAGTACGAAGTATAGATGAGCTTTTGAACTATATTTTAATAGGCTTAAAATACATTTTGGTTTCATTAAACACACTGCTATCATACTGGATCATACGTACAACGATCACCCAACTCATCAGTCAAGATGCAAAACTGTGCAAACGGAATATAGCCATTTAAAAACTCCATACAATTACAAACAACATTGTGTTCAATAGAACTCATTGATCCACTGGGTTCCATTACCTCGATTCCAAAGGGAAAAACATAATTTTCTGTAAATACAAATACAGATTATTCAATGAACTAGTCTCGATATTAAAACATTCGATCGAGTACGCAATATCGAAATCCATAATCTGACAATAGTCGACGGCGACTTTTGAAAGAGGGCAAGAAATCTGGCTAGACGCGAAGATGCAGTCTAAGTAAAATTTTGGAATTTAATAAAAAGAGCAATATCGTACAAAAAAAGATGGGGTACACGATATTAGAATCGTTGGAAGCAGTTGTACAAGTGATGCACAAAACAGAAATAAAGGAGAAAGTCTATAGACACTAGTAGCGAAAGAATTTAAAGTTTAAAAAGCCTATGAATAGAAACCCAATTTGAAATACTACCACTCCATCAACGAGACATTCGTTAGGTTAATACTTATACTTGTCGTATGTAAAGGTACTATCGTCGTAGACACTATCATCGCTATCACTGTCCTCCTCTCGGTGTTGTATCATATCCTTAAAAGGGTTTACTACTTCAAATTCCTCATCTGACGACACTTCTATGGTCTCCATGTCATACGCTATCCATTTCGGCACCTTACGGTCCGTGGTCAACGACAACCATTTTTGAGGCCTGCGTTTAAATAACTTAACCAATATATATTGCCCTTTGTTAGCATGCGAACAGTTTTTCAAAGTAACTACGCCGTATAATTCTATGTCAAATCCGTATGATGTATCTTGAACCTTCGCAGCTATACTTAGTCCCCTATCTTTAATAGTCAAATCATACTTATCGACGATCAATTGAATTTTAAGCGTAACTACAGTTCGTGTTTGTGACCATAAAACTTTAGGTTTACAAATTACTTCTGCGCTATTTTGGACATCTTCAACTTTAGGCTTTATATCATCGACTTTAGGTTTGATATCATCCACTTTGTGAGTTTTAACTTCTTCAACAATGGCTGTTGTTTCGACTACGTAGTTTTCGTCTGTTATACTACTTTTTGCGTCCTCAGTATCGGTTTTTATGTTATCATCATCAACTACATCCTTTTCATTTGTCTCCGCAGGTATATCGTATGTTAAAGGTAAAGCAACATCTTGTTCAGACCACATTGCATCTGGGAGCTCTTTTACACCGACTATTTGAGACAATGGTGCAGGTAACAGAGCCTCAGGATCGTCAGCTACGAAGTCAAATTCATCATCTGCTTCATCATCATAATCCGTAACCGGTACATATTGGACAATATTATTAGAAGACGACTGTTGGCTTGTATTATTTAAGAATATAGATTTATCTATTTGACTTGTCGATGATTTGGGTTCGTCGTCCTCTATATCAGAAGGGACTTCTACTTTCTTTTCGAATCCTACATCATTTAAAAGATCTACCTCATCATTTTCTTCCGCCAAATTCTTTTCAATCAACATTTCATTAATGATTATATCGTCCTCGGAATATGTATCAATTAAAACGACACCGTATTTGTGACCTTCTGTTACTGTAGCTTTTTCCTTTTTAAAATATTTTATGTATAATAATTTATGCTTATCGGCATCATCGAAGCAAGAGTTAGTAAAGAAATTAGTTGTAAAATCCGTCCAGTTTTCACCGAATGGCTTAACACCCACCAGTCTACATTCAATGGCTTGGAATGGCAGCTGAGTGATAAATTTTTCAGTGATAGGTAAAATTTTGTTTATAGATATTTCCCTCCATTCTGCTTGGTCCACAAAGAAGCATTTAGCTTTACCATTAGTGACGCTACTCTCTACTCTAGCCCTTCAAATGTATTATCATCTGGGTGCTCAGCGATTACTATATCTCCTTCATTGATATCTTCTTTCGGTTGAGGGTTCTCAGCTACATGCAATTTAATATCATTTATAAGTGCAGTGAGACATTTCTCAAATTTAGTATGTCTGACAAAGAATTGATCAGGATGGTCGGCAGTCATGAGCATCACCGTAGAAAATATACCGTCTTCTAAATGAGCCCATCGGCATTTTGGCAGGGGTTTAGCTAATGGTTTTGGAGGCTTAACATCCTGTGTTTTGTTTTCGTCATTGGTGACAACAAAATCGCATATATTCTTCAAATTATTGATATGATCAGGGCAAGGTACGGCATGTCCATCTAGAAGTTCCTGACGCAGATTATGTTTCACAACTACTTCTTTCAACGCAGACAATTCTTGACAGACTTCTAAGTTTTCTACTAAAACAGTGTTTCCAATGACCATTGCGATTTGACCTCTCACAAACACGTCTTCGCTTTCTTCAATAAATTGTTTAATATGTTTTTCAGCTAAATCTGAGTACGTTACGTCTTTATCTTCAGGTCTTATGTTAGCCAGTGCAACATTAACGACATAAGTTTCAATATTCTTTAGTTCTTCAGGCAAATGGTACAACGACGTATCAGACGCGTATTTGTATATTTCTTCGTCTATTAGTTTGATCAATACATTATTACCTTTGGAGTTCGTAACTTTAATGATTTGGCAGCGCACGAATAGGTTTTGCTTCAGCGTGACCGCGCAGATGTCTCCAGTTTTCAAAATTCCTTGAAGCCTTTTATTAGACTCCTTACTATAATACATGCCCATTTTAAGAGAAAGTAAGCTATAATTCTGAGGGAACGTTTTCGTTTGTCTATCGCGAGACGTGTAGGACAAAAGTCTAGCGGAGTAGTGAGCAGCGGAATGATAATTCATAACTCTAAAATTAATAACACCATCTTTAGGCAGCCATTCTTTCGGTGCATCGTACTCTTCGAACATAGAGTGTCTATCGACACAATTCCAATAATTTGGACATTCTCCCAATGTTAAAAGCATTTTGCAAATCGGCACTAAACCCTTAGCTAACACTAAGTTCCTTTCTCTCACAACTTTCGACGTTAGTTCGTCCAAATGGGGTGGAACATCACGCATGCATCTCTTAACAAAGTGCAGTATCTTTGGCAAAGCTTCGATATTACTGTTATCGAGCAATATTTTAATTTTTATTACTTTCTTCCTCATTGAAAACAGACCTATAGTTCTCATTTAATACAGCAAATCTATTACAGAACATTGAAAACAATTTGGGCAAAGAATATTGGATCAAATAATGAGCGTCCGACACGTTCAAATGAATCAAATTTCCGTCACAACAGACTAAAATAGGACCTAACACCGGTTCTTGATACTCTTTAAGCGCCTTGTCTAAAGCGTACAAATCTTCTACTGTCATCGTACTATCACATGAGAATACTATATGTTTTAGACTAATCAGAGTGTCAGCAATAAATTTTACTTCATGATCTGATTTACATACAATAACCGTTTTTTTAGATTTATCAATGTCTTGTAAAAATTTGATTACTGAAGCAATTTTTTTCTCTTCGGCGAGGAACTCTACGCTAGTAGCAGCTTTCGAGTATAGTACGCACTCTTCAAAGGCGGAGATGCACACTATGGAGTCAGGGGCTTTCTTAGCTAGAGTCGACATGAAATCGCACCAAATTCGCGAGACAGCTATAAACTGACACTTCCATTCTCTATGCGGCCGCTTCTTAACGACATCGAATACTTTCATCACGCAGAACTTGATCTCTTTAGAATAGAATTTCGATATATACTCGCAATCGTCTATAACAAACGTCGAAATATAATGAAGATCAAGACTTAGGTCTTTTTGAATAAGACGTACTAGCATAGAAGGGGTGCATACGAGAATATCGCAACCATTTAGAAGAGAGGTGGTAATGAACAAATCAGACATACCAGCGTGGCATGCAAAGACTTTTAAGTTGTGAACGAGGATTTTACACATATTTTGGACATGTTGCAAAGAACGAGCGGTAGCACAAACGATAATACACCTCAATTGACATTTGTCCTTAGATTCTTTATAATCACCGGTTAAACGGCACACGGCTGGTAAATACCCCATTGTGTTTCCACTTTTATGGGGACTAACGACAAAGAAGCTGTGTCCACGTAGTATGGACATCCAAGACACCGTCTGCGTTTTCATAGGTCTCGTGATCTGCATATCACGTAGCACACAATGAATGTTGTTACCGAACGGTATGTCTCTCAAATTAGTCACTGGCTGCACGTGATTCCCTTTCTTAGTGTGCACCATAAGAACTGGCGTGGTTAACTTATCTACAAACACGGAAATAGTACCGTCCAAATTTCTGTACGGATTTACATTAGGTTTTTGTGCGCGTCCACCTACAATTTCAACGTTATCAATTGGTTTATCGTGTTTTTTGTATGTTTCACGTAATTCTTGATCTAGGACCGACATATCGTCGTCAAAGTCATTATTATTATCAGGCTTAGGAAAAACAGTAGTAAGTTTCTTGCGTTGCGCCAAAATCTCACGTTTGCGTTTTAAAAGTTCGAAAGCCTTGTTCCGAGAGGTATCGGGTTGAGTTACAATATCAACATTGTTTTGTGTACATTGCGTTACAGTTTTCGAGTTAGATAATATAGAATTTACCTCAGGGGTTGTGTTTGCACACATATTCTTCTCTTCTGTTTCTTTTCTTCTTTCTTCTTCATCTGCTGAACGAGGTTTAATCATGAACTTGGTATGCGACAGCCCAGCAGGACCGTAGGCGATGTTCCGTACTTCTTGACCAGCGACCTTCTGTGGTTTTCGAGCTGAAATAGAAAGATTACATTAGCTTATAATGCCTACTAAAACTAGATAGAACCAGACTATTTTTCAATTTAGAGAAACTAAAGTTATCTACGATTTCGAAATTCTTAACGAATAGGGATTATAAAATTTATGAATGTAATGTAAAAAATGATGTTAATTAATAATGGCAAATCAGTAATGTAAAGTGAACTAATTATTAATAACTAAATTGAAAACAAACACTCACCTAAGTCCCGGTTACGATTGTAATTTTGATTGTTCCCATCGTTGTCCTGGTTATTATGTTCGTTATTCTGGTTATTACGATAGTTGTTGGAGTTGTTGCGATAGTTATTCGAGTTGTTGCGATAGTTATTCGAGTTGTTGCGATGGTTGTTCGTGTTGTTGCGATAGTTGTTCGTGTTATTGCGATAATTGGTTTGGGTGACGCGATAGTTATTCTGACGATGTGTCTGGTTATTTTGATCACAATTTTGGTCATCGCCATCATTAAATGAATTGCGTCGGAAATCACGACAAACACTGCTAGAGGAAAATTGTGAGGCTTCCGATTTTCGGGAGGGATAATTGTCATTTCTGTTATCACGATTATTCTCGTTATTATTTCTAACATTACGATTATTTGTATTCATGAAGCGATTGGGAACATGATGCTTCTTCCCTTCAGGGTTCACGTTGGTTTCGTCGTCGGAGAAAGTCGTGTTACATTCGGACCCATTGCCCCGTTTTCTATTTTCCTTTGCTTTCTGTGCCAACCACTCAAACTTGTTTTTCCGGTTGACATTGACACTGGTATCATTGATACTCTCAGCAGTAGGTCTAAAACGCCTCAGAGTATTCGCACGACCAGCAGAAACCTCATCAACGTCCTTGCAGAGCTTCAAATCGTTCATCTTGTTCTTCAAAACACTTTCAACAGTTTCATGGCTTTGAAGAGCAATTTTGCGGTTCTTTATCGCCTCTTCTAACTCTTGGGCTTCTTCGAAAACTAACGTTTGTTTTCGGAGGACGAGCAGCCAAATTTTCTCCGGTATCGTTCTTGTTATAAATCCTTCTTTCAACTTCTTGATGACGTCGTGTTCGGCGACATAACCAAGTTTGGTTTTAAGGTTATTCGTAACCAACTTCTGGTGGAATATATGCTCGTCGGCATAAGCAAAGCCGGACTGGACTACTTCGTCTGACAAATTGATGGTCTTGCCATCTTTTTTGAAGATGCATATGTCGCCAAACTTATGGGTGTTGTCGTCGAAGATAGATGACCTGGTGATAAATAGATATCATTAGTATATGATAATTTGCGTGTGAAATGAAATATACATATGGATGATTGTAATTTTAAACATATTCATGTTAACCTTTTGACTGTTGTATAAAAAAATTAATGAAAAGCTTATATTATCGCATTTCTAAATACAATTTAATAACATAACTAATTCCACATTCGTCTTGATAGTTAAACATATAAAACAATATACTGACAATTATATAAAGCTGCAGAATTTGTTCGTTTCAACATGCTAATCTCCGAGCAAGGATTGCTATGCACACATTAATAGCTTCGTAGTGTTATATCTTGTCTTCACTCTGGTGAGTGAAATCTACGAGCAATAAGAGCCGAGTAGCAGTAGCCAAACAATAAACGGTGCACTTTATTAAAATTATTCACATAAGTCGAGAAGATTTTAAACTGCCCAAGTAAAGAAGGATTATACCAAACTGGTCAAGATCCGGGATTTGACTGAAAACCAACAAGTTGGGTTAGAACCGAAGATCACAATTATATCAGAACCCTGAGTCTAGCCAAATCTGGATTGAATAAGGGAAATTGTAATCTTGTTATTGGATAAAAAGTGTGTATAATAATAATTAAGTACGACTATTATTTTAAAAGCTTACTACCTGTAAGCGGAAATGCCCCAATATTTATTTATTGGATACAGCCACAAGCTATAGATCATAAAAACTAAGTGTTCCGTTTGACTTTTTTTAATTTGAAGATACAAAAAAACATTCCACATTCATAATATTCATAGGATAAATACTAAGATTTACCTATAACACAATAAACTAACCCTATGTGATTATTATGGTGGTCAAACGGTTAAGAAAGATTTGTAAATTGTTTTTTTTTTATTTTTGATTAGCCAATAAGAACAATGAAAAGAGTAATCATAGAGTTTCTTGCTTGTTTTTCTCCACTTTAGGATAGATTAAAAATGCATAATTAAATAAAGCAGAATAGTGAAAAAATATAAAAAAAAAAATATTGAGCATGTGGTATTTTAATTTTATTTATGGCTAGTGATTCTTTAGAGATGTTAAATAAAAAAAAATCAGTCAATTTAAGTCATGTATAAGCACTTAAAATTCAGTATTAAAACTTTTGAAAAGTGCTTTTACTAGAGTTATCTAAATGTCAGTTTTAACAACTTAGCTGTGAATAAGGATTTTATAAGTTAAAGCACACAGCTACAAGGTATTTATTTAATGACTATTATTTCTAGAAAGGTAGGCAGAAACCCAAACTTATTGATTTTATATTGGATACAGTGATAGACTATAAAAAAACAATTGGGTACCTGGAGTATTCTTTGGCTGTATAGCTAACTAGTTGACTAAACTTTGTGATAAATATATTTTATGCATGACTGACAATCTAATTTTTTTTTTTTAGTGCAAACTCCAACTTAAAAAAACTAATATAACAATATAAATCTACATGAATTTTAAAATGGACAGGTCTACAGAACAAAACTGAATTTACCAAATGTTTACAGTATTTTAGCCAAAATATTTTACTATAAGTTTCACATGGTATTTATTTGCAGTAATTTGAAGAAAGAAATAAGCAAGATACACAATGATAATTAGTTAAGAAAAAAAATTACAAGATATTAACACAAAAAGTGAATAAAAATAACTTACTTTTTATCTATGAAGGTAGGGGAGAACCAGACTTCAGAGGCGTCGTGGAAAGATTTGGTCATCGCCACCACAGCTGCCGGCAGCCAGTCCTCACTGACTTCCGTTTTTAACACACAATCTATGTCAATAGTCACATTTTGTGGCAAAACACCATACAGACCGATTTGTTCGAAGATAAACTTCGATTCATCACCCTGCTTTCGAGTTACCACCCAAATCAAATGGGGATTCACGTAGTGAACCACATCCACCTTGTAATATTCGGAATCCATCTTGACTCACAATTATAAAACTTTTAAATCCACTACAACTTCAACAAACAGCACTTTTAAGAAATCTTAACATTTCAAAATGTGACCGCCGCCGACTGTTGTCGAATTACGAATGAAGTAAATATTTTAACCATTCTAGCCGTAACCGAGCCGAGACTCGCGACGCTCGGTGAATAGTGATGCCCCCACCCTTACACTGGCCGCTCCAATCGATTTTTTTTGTGTTACCAGACGAGTGGATGTTTATTAACGTATAATATGGAAATTATTATCGTACAATTAGCAATACCATGCGAAAGGTGTTATTTAGCGAAACAAGAATTATTCAAAATAATTTGTAAGATAATTATTAATGTATTTAAATCGATTAATGTTGCGCTGGAGCGGGACAGCGGCATACCCCGTCCCTGCGGCACTGGGCGGGGCCATGCCGTTCGGGCGCACGGATTGGGTGTCAAATTTTAACAGATTAGGAACTTTGAATTTTATTAGAGGGTTCGCTTCTAATAATTAAATAATTCAATTTTGTAAAAAAGGAATTTTATCGAAAGTTTGACAGGTTCGAAGGAGATTCTAAAGCATTGGATAGAATTTTTCTTTCTTGCTTTTTTCTCTCAATTCGTAATAAATTATCGTACTTTTGTGTAGGATAGCACATGACATTACACACATTAGAATTCATTCGTACATCGTACTGATAGAATCGAATGTATGTACGTAATGTACGATAATCAATCGTACATGGCATCCCTGTGGACGTAACCCACGCCACGCCATGTCTGCAAGCGATTTGTAAACGATTTTGTACATATCATTGTCGATCAATAAAATGCAGTGGAAGCGTTTGCATAAATCAAAATTTATTAGATACGTTCCATCAAATTAAAATTTGATTTATGGGTCCATTTCAGCATAACTTCCAAGTCCATTCTGTGGACCTCCTAGTATCTACACAATTATGTAAATGTAATGTCTTAGATGAGATTAAGAATAGTGGAGATAAAACTAGAATGTATTTGTAGGTATAATAAGACGAAATAAACGGGAATAATCTACATATACAGGAGTTGGTGGTTATCTTAGGGGTTTTGTGGAATCCCTAATCTATCTACTATATGCCTATAATACATCATTATTATTATTATTTATATTTTTACAGCGCACGAGACAGATTTGGGTTAATATTATTTGAACATTGAATGAATGTTAATTCAGTTATTCTCAAAATTCTTTTTGGCTAACACTGATGTTTCTGTAGACACCCGCTTTTGAAGATATATTACCAACACGTAAGAAGCGTTTTGCTATGACTTTTGAATTGTAACAGCTAAGGAACTATGGAGTGGAATTCTTTGCCGGAATTCGTTTCCTGAAGTGTGTAATTTGGGTGTTTTTAAGCCTCGGACAGATAGGGTGCTTACGCGTAGGTGAGTTTGATCACCTCCATTACTTACAAAAAGGCGAGATAGAGGCCAAAACGTCCACCCATTTTCAATATAGAAAATAAAAAATAACAGGTTTTTCGTAAATGTCCACGGTACTTAATTAATCAGCGGATATCGTGTGAAAATGTGTATAACAAAAAAAAACGGTTGTCATAAATAAAATAACTGATAAGATATTGTGCCATTTTCCTCTTTTATATACCATACTTAGTACATTACTTACTATTTATTACGTGCTGATACTTTTACCATTCATCATACTCAAGGTATCTTTGGCTAAATACTAACGGTACTTACTCAAGTTCATCTGAAAATACCACGTTTACTATCTTTCACATACATACGATAGAATAAAATCAAGAACTGCTTAAACAACATTCCATTATATAGAATAGAAACAGGCGTTTCTTTGCGAGATCCATGCTTTGCTAACAACTGAGAAAATATTTAGTTTTTATTTCGCTGAAGGTATAAATTTGCAGACTGTACTATGCAGTACTGTCCTCCCACTCACAAATTAACGCTCATCAGACAACAAACCACACCAGAACGACACTCGACATATGTTTCGCTCCTCCACGGAGCATCCTCAGGAGTTGTAGACACGGCGGCTCCCTTTCATTCCATCAAATTACAATTTTATTTATGGGTCTATTTCTTTCTGTGGACACTATTGTGTAGAATGAAATCTACTTTTAATACCGTAGAAAGGAGTAATTTAGAAGGAAATACATATGTATGTACAATATAAGTGTCTATAGATGAGAGTAATGTGGATACCAATTGGAAACGAATCGTAAGAAGACATTATAAACAAGAATTCCTAGGAATTTCGCGAAATTACTGATAACATCATTTTGCTATAGCGTATGCAAATATATACCGCGTGCAAGACAGATTTGAAGAAATAATTTTAATAACGAATGAATGTGCAGTGTCTACAGTTATTTCGTACATTATTTTTAATATTCATATTAATACTACAGTGGAGGCTTGGCTTTAAAGCCGTGTTGAATACAGAACACAGGTGTTAAGTTGTAATTTTGCTAGTATTTTGGTTTTCATCACATCCATTTAAGAGAATATGCAGAGACACCATTTAATTCCCCCAAGTTCTTTCCATCATCGCATCACCACACAGACGGTAGAGTGCCATCATTTTAAGGATTATAGCTCACCTAAACGCATGAAACGTTTCGCCTCAAGTTCATTAAGTAAAAGCTAACAGTGGAATTTTTAGTCCGAGTCCGTCATTCCTGAATTATTTGGATGTCTTCAAGACCCGAGTGAATAGGTTTAGGTTGTTTATGTGCTAGCAAGTTCTTTCGTAGGCTACATCATAGCTTACCACCAGGCCAGATGGTGATCATAACGCCTACCAATCAATAAAACAAATAATAATTATGATACAAGCTTTGGAATTTTCCATGGTATTTAATACCTAGTTGATTGTTTCATCCCGTCCCCTAAAACCCGTGGGAAAATGTGGAGATTAAAACAATTGTTGTCAAAAATCAACAAAACAATTGCTATCTCCCTCTTTTATATACAAGTCTCACTCACTCACATTGTTAGCTATACCTTTCTTACGTGCCACTGCCGCTGCCATTCATTATATTCCAGGAATCAAATAAGGAGTTTACTTTAATTTACTTACCTTAAAATACTACGTCCGCCATCCTTCTCACACAAACAATAGAATAAATCAAGAACTTCTCAGATGACATACTTTCAAATTAATAAAAATCTCTTCCGTGGACCCTGTAGACTGTAGTACTAAGAATAGATGTAAAACGAATGAAATCTACATTTAATAATATTTACTAGGTGTTCATGTCATATTCCTAGGGATTTCATGAAATTCCTGGTATCCAAATATGTTCTGTCTCCAGTTATTTCTTTAATTATTTTCGAAATTTTGGGTAACATTAAAGCTTCTGTGGAGATTCGGGTTCAAATCTCTTCGAACACAGGCGAAAAGTTGTAACTTTGCAAGTGTTTCGATTTTTTATAAATACATTTAGGAAAATATGCAGAGGAATTTCACTATTTGATTCTTCAAATCCTTTCTATCATTACACCACACAAATGGTTTCGCCTCAAGTTTTTTAATTAGAACACCTAAAGAGTGGAATTATCTCCTGAATTATCTAGGTGTCTTCAATACCCGAGCGAATATGTTGCTTATGTGCTGGCAAGTTCCATCGCAGGCTACATCATAGCTTACCATCAGGCCAGGTATGGTCAAAACTCCTACAGAATTTCAATAAAACAAATAATATTAATAATACGTACTTTGGAATTGTCCGTGGTATTTAGTTATTCTACTTAGTTAATTGTTTCGTTCCGTCCCCTAATACTCGTGGGAAAATGTGGATACTAAAACAATTGTTGACAAAATAAAATGACCGATAAGAAATTTTGTTATCTCTCTCTCTATCTGAATAATCTTTTGTTCTATACAAATAGCATTTGGTCCAATCTATTTGAATCCTAGAATACAATGAATGATAGTTCAGTGGCTCAGAAGAAAAGTATAGTTAACAATGTGTGTTGGCGAGACTTGAATATAATAGAGGGAGATAACATAAGTTCTTATTGGTTATTTCACTTTTCCCACGAGTGTTAGAGGACGAAACATTGTCTTTTTAAGTACCGAGGATACTTTCAAACTACAGTTACCCAGAATTTGAAAAACAATTGAAAAAATTCCTGTAGACACGTACATTCATTCGTTTTGTGAATAACATAATCATACCCAAATATGCCTTGCATGTGATATAAAAATAAATTATATACGTGCCATGCCGCAGTAAAATAAGGATATTAGGGATTTCATAGAATCTCTTGGTATATCATGAATTCTCTTTACAATTGGTTTCTGGTTTATTTCGATTATTCCCATTTGTAGTAGGTATTTACATTTTTGAAGGAATAAAAAAATATTCAGGCATTATAAAGTCTACAGAACGGACTTGGCCTTATTCTAAAATGGACCTGAAAATCAAAATTTTATTAGATGGAACGCATCGACACATCTGTTGAATAAAAATGCATACGCTTCCACAGCATTTTATTGATCGACAATGATACGTGGGTTACGGAAGGCTGAGGAAGGAATGCACGCTAATTATCCGTGCGCAACATACAACATAACACATAACGTATAATGGTTGTACTGTAATTTTCAATCTTCTTTCGAATTGAAGGAAAGAAAGCCGGTAACCGAGCAGACACCAGAAACACCAAGGCGTTACAAGTGCGTTATCGGCCTTTTGGGAATTGGGAATTTGAGGATTGTCGAGGATTCGGGGATTAGGGAGACTAGGGAGGGGGAAGTTGGGCCTCTGGTAATCCATATAAGTTACATACCCATTATGGGTCTACAGAACGGGCTTAGAAATAAAAACTATTCCAAAATAAACCTATAAACCAAAATTTTATTTTATTTTTCATGTTGATAGTAAATATGGTAATTTAATGTAAAATACCACTCTCAAATTTAAGTGATTCCAAGATTGTAATTAATGGTAGCAGCAGCGGTACTTATGAAAG